GTTAGAACCTTTCTCCTCTATCTAATTTTATATTTACATATGTGGTTTGAAATAGTAGTGTCTCATTCTCTTGTTAAATGGGACTTTCTCTTCCAATATATGTGAGATTTCCTTCCTTCTCATTTCCAAAGGGAAGGGAAGCCATGGAGGCAGAACACAGGGTCTCTTCATAGGGAGACACAGGTTTCATGACCCTATGCATCATGAAAACCTTGAAATGGCTGAACATTTTCAATTGGACTTTAAAAGGCATGTGTACAATGGAACTGTTTGGTGGACATACATACTTTGACCTGTAGAGAGTATCAGTATGGAAGAAAAAAATGCTCTTTTTCAACCTTTGCCTGTCTGGGAAGAAACTCTGTACCATGTTCAAGTGCAAAGAATGGAATACCAAGTGAAAATGTTTTGCAGCTCTCCAGTTCTAAAAGCCTTGACAAACCTGACAGTAGATTCCAGCCCCTTTGTACATATCATCAAGGTCCCCAACATTATTCAAACACAGGCTAAAACCTTTTTATTTAAAACTTATTTTAATTGTTAAATTATTGAATTAATTAGGATTTTAAAATTTTTAGCCGAGAATGCACCAGGGGTTTTTAAACGATTTTTTAAAATTGTTATATTATCATTATTTATGTATGTATTTATGTATTCTTTGTGAGCCGCCCCGAGGCTTTGTTGCGATGGGGGCGGCATAGAAATGTTTTAAAATAAATAAATAAATTTAGGATTGCACGAGCAAAGGTGACTTTCAAGACCTGGTTATGTCACGAGATCAAATCTAGATAAGGAAATGACCCTTTACTCATTTTAGACCCTACAATATACTTCCTACAAGCCTTATTATTCTACTCCTCCTAAAAAAGGGAATGAGGAAAAGACCATAAAAAAATATCTTGCAGCTACCGGCATTAACCATTATTTGAAAACTGGGTTCTGCAGGAAGCTGCAATACAATATGGGGCTGGGGGGCGGGGGTGGACATTCAACAGAATTAATACGATGTTCTTGAGAACAAAGTTCCATTTAGAAAATTAGCACGGATGCTTTTAATATCCTGAAAACTTGCTCTGCACACCAGACTGTAACTCAGCATCAGTATTTTCTCTATACTGTTCACAACAGCATCTAAAACCAACACAATAAATATATAGATCAATATAAGTATAAAATGACTATGTAAATATAATCTTCAGTTAGTTGGGTGTCTTTCATAGAAAGTCACAGGCACACCAAATGAAGAGAAACACTAAATATGTTTGTTAGGGAAAATTCAAATTCCTTCCTTTTGTTTTTAATGCCTTTAGTTGTTTACTGAAGGCAAGATGGGCAGGGATGGAGTACTAGATGGGGGAAGGGGGGTGGCTCATTATGCAGGGCCCCCCTGCCGCATTCCTAACTGATTTTTAAATCCCTCAAATCAACATGGAAACAGACAAAAGCATTTGCTCGTTGAAAAATTCTTTAATAATAGCTTTGTGCAATGCTTTCTTGTGCTCAGTATGCTTATTTCTGGCAAAAGCATCTACCTCCAGATGTGCCTTATCAGTGGATAATTACAAGCCACAGAAAGCACAAAGCAGCAAAAATATGTATGAATAAGCTATGTTTAATTTGAAAGATCCTTTTTTCATTATGTAAATTATACATCGCAAACAGACATGTCATTTCTAACTTTTTCCTTTAAAATTTACTTTTTAAAAAATAGTCTAATCTAGAAAATTCTTTTGAAATAATCATATCTTTTACATTTAGGGTGCACATTTTCTAAATTGGAAGTCAACCAGACTTCTCCACATGCCATACATGGCTTTATCGCTCCACATGTCTCTACAAAATTCCCAATAAACAATCTGACTCAAAGAAAACGAATGTCCTTTTATGGCAACAGTGTCAACATTTAAACTCCTGAAAGATGCCTCAAAAACCAGCTATGCCCCCTTTGCTTCTCTCTGATGGCCAGTACGCTTCTCAGAAGCAGTGGTGAACCCAAGTAAATTTTAGACGCTGAACTTAAGATGCAAGCCATTGTTATTTAGACAGGAAATGTCTGAACATGAATGGATGTCCACCTTTTGTGACATTATAGAGGGTCTTGGATGCTGATTACACATAGCCTGATGTATTACTTCTGTCTTGATATTTCTCTTCCTGCCAATCCATAGTTTACAACTGCTTCTATATACCTTATATGCTAGAGCAAGAAAGAAAACCCTGTTTGCCAGTCCTCAGTTAAAAAGAAAAAGAGAAAAAATAGCCCGAGCACGAGCAATTTAATCTCCCTTCAATTATCTTATTAGCAGGACTAAGACAATAATATGAAGTTTGCTTTCTGCTGTCCCGGCAAGAGCAAGATTTTGTTGTAGAAAAGTATAGCTTACACTGAAAGTAAAAGATAAAACTAAAAATGAGCACCTGTAACTATATACAACCTTGCCACACAAGACTCACCGCTTAAGCAAGGGAGATCTAAGGTTACAAGAAGAAGCACCAAAAT